GTTCGCTTGACGTGCGCTTGTCACCGTCACCGCGGAGACGTCGCATCGATAACTGTAGCATAATTCGAGTGCTACGGCAACATGTACATCCCGGATATCTACCCGCTCGACCGATTCGATTTGCTCGTGACGATTTGTGTGACGAATACTGTACGCTCTTATTTCGCGTCCTTCCTTCTATTTCACCGAATTTGATGTTATGTATTTTCTTATTAAAATTTTCGGTCCTTATTAGAATTTTTGTATTAAATTTTTAACATAACCGTGCGTTAATTTAACGTATTGTGTTTTATATCATTTCAATATTTTGCATTGAGTCGATATTTAACATGTCTAAACGTTAAAGTAATACATTTTATATCTCAGTGTCGATTAACGTATTATTAATTTTGTGTTAATTTTTGACCCAAGTAATACAACTTTGTATTACTTTTCAACGTAATCACCTTGTGTTAAATTAACACAAAAATTTGTGCAGACTGTTTGGGACATATGAAATATGTTAAATTTAACACAAAATTTTGTATTGTACATATTAAACACTAAGCAAATTATTATTATTATCATTAAGCTTCAATGAAGCTTCAAGCTCTAACATTTACTAGGCCAAAACTTGCTACTCTTCCTAATCGTTTTCATCGTGTTTGGATACAACATGATATATCAAGCTGTCAAAATGATACATTAGCCGAATAATCTTGTCACAATGTATACATATACCCAGACACGATACAAACGATTATACTCGCAATTAGAAACGGCGTACTCTTCGCAATTTTCTCTCTTTTTCTATCCCTTTTCTTAACGGCGTCAGCGCCGTCGCGTTCGCCACGCTCCGCGATATATCTACAAAGCTATTCATGCGTCCATGGAAATTTTTACGGAGGTATTCACGAAAATCCCTTCCCCCGTACATCGATCCGACCCGCGCGGAGATTGCGGAATCCCGAATTGGTTCGCAGATAAGATAGGAATTTTCCGGCGCATTAAACACGCGAGAGAAGAGGGAGGCGCGGTCGAAAATCACTCGCGAGAGAGACAAGGCCTATCCATCGGCGATCGCAATTAAAGTTTGACGAACGATTCGCTTGGAACGAGTCTTTCGAGAGCGCCCTTGGTTTCGCTTCACCGTCAATAATATAAAATCCCCGGTGGCAGAAGGATAAAAATGCGCGGTGAGTGACGCGATCTGGAGCGAATCCCCGCGATGGCCGGCTCGCCACGATAGAAGCCGGACGAAAGTGCGCCCTTCGGAAGTGACGCCTGCCGGCGGAGTCGCGTGCGAGAATCGGAAGTTATCGGAGGTAGTGGCGGATCGTCGAAAGATCCGCTCGTCCGAGCGGCATAACCAACGCGAGAGCGGAAGATTTTTAGACTCGCAGCTGATCGGCGAGGCGTGTTCACGTACTCTCGGTGTACAAAGGCTCGTCTAAATGTATCCACGGCGGTCTAATGGATAACAGCTTAGAATCACGTCTGGCTACCTGAAAATTGAGGCTATCCATCACTCTCGGATCTTTTGACCGACCCTTCTTCTGGGCGGCTTGTTGTAACCCATTTTAGGGATACGTGTGTATATGTATCGTAGACTGACATCTCAGGCTAGCAGTCCGTCCCGTGCAATATTGAATTCAGCGGGGAATTAATTTCAATTTGTCCGCGGGAAGGATACCATGCGGTTAACACTAATATCCCGAATCCGCGTGGGGAAAATGATCCCGTGTACGCGTGTTCTCGCATACGATCCTGCGCGATCCGCGGAGCTCCGTCCACATTTTGCGCATCTTCACGAGATATTTCGGGACAACGGAGATTAATCGTCGTGATAATGTGAAAACGCTCGAGCGAAATATTTAATATCGGATGTCGCGGCATCAAGCGTTTCTCATCACATTATAAATATCCCCTCGAAGCTTTAAGTTCGCGAAGTGTGATCGTGGAGAAAATGAATGACTACCGTAAGAATCTGAACATCGGTATGCGGGGGAGTAAATGTCATTTGTGGCCGTACGATTTGCAAACCGTGTACCGTTCAAGTTGAAAGCGGGGAAAGCCGAAATTATTGTCCCACTTCTGTACGATGTAAAGGCAAACGGACAAATGGAACATCGCTGTAGGAGCGGCGAGCAATTCAAAGGAGGGGTTGCTGCTCGTTAGGCGCGGTCTGCGTAACGCTGCACTGGGATTATTTCTACATGCGGGTGTGGCGGAGACAGGACAGTAAACGAGCGCGATGTGCGAATTTTACGGCACGCTGGCCCACCCGGTGTGCCTGAAAGAAAAGCGGTAAACCGAAGAATATTGTTGCACGAGATTGCGTTTCTCCGTCGGCGCGGCTTAACGTGCACAGTGTAATAAACGTAGGGCGCTTTCAGCGAAAGAGAAAAAGAGAAAGAGAGAGATAAAGCTTTCAGACAGTTTCAGCGCGAGCAAGTTTGGTTAATTCATTCGCGTTATGCAGCACAGGGTGCGCCCGATAGAAAAAAAAATTGCGCGAATGCTATTTCGCGCCGTTATCGCATTTGCAGGAATCAAAGAAACACGCGTTTATACATGAGTCGATTGAAATTTGTTTTTCTCACGTGTCAATAAATGTGTGTATATAAAGCGAACGTGTTGAAAAGAGACGGAGAAAAAGAACGGGAGAAATTAATATTTTACCCCGATGAAATATCGTACCCCGTCGAAAAAACGGGGTAAATGTTCACACGTGTGTTTTCATGCGCAGAGTTTGCCGCATCGAGCTCGGACGTGATTTACTTCATTTACGAGATCAAAGCGCCGGCGTGACGTCAACGACGACGTGTAATGCGAAGTGCGACTCGGCGATAGAATACGTCGCACGCATTATTGATGCAGGCGCGAACTCGCGAGACGCTACGTGGTTTTAATAAAGTTTCACTGTACCGCGCGTACGGCGGCGGTTATCCCTCTTTCTCTCTCTCTCTCTCTGTCGCGCACGCAACTTTTCACTGTGTACCAGGTCAGCGGAGTCAGCCGAGTTAATAAATTGATGGGGCATATTAAAGTCTGCGAGCAAATAAGCGAGTGACAACTAGGCTGTCAGAGATTCTGCGTATGTTTCTGCCTATACATGACATAGTTTCTTCTGGTAACTCGGCGAGAATGTTATGTGCTCTAAGCGATGTAGAAATATCGCTTCTGCTTAGCGCGCGCTCCAGATTTCGGTACGAGGTCTTTGCGACTGTTGTTAAATCCGTCGATTAAATTTCCATCGGAAAGCTGGGAATCCCGCTTTGCGAACATTCTGATACTTATAGGGAACGGTAATCTCGTAGCTTTGTGGGAACCAGTTTATTACGTAAGGATAAGAAGGAAAACTAGACGTCAAGGTGAAATCCCTTCGCAATCATCTTGGCATGAAAAATAGTTCGAATAACATTTATTAAATAAATGTTCAATCGGGGCAGAAATGAAGAGAGTGAAAACAATTCCAGACTGCGATTTGTTCTTCTTCTCATCTTTCGAGCTCTTTATAATTCAGATGATGATAACGGGAAGAACGTACATTCGAGCAGACGAAGGTAGAATCTTACCGAGTCAATATATGTATATTTTTCTCGCTTGTTTTACTGATTATCTTTTGTCGACCCGAGAACAAACAATCGAACAAGATGGGCGAAAGGACAACATTCTTTCCGAAGTACTCTACGTAGTTAAATATATCTATCGTTGATACTATCTTATGTATAGGAAAAACCATCGAGTTAGAATTCCAAAGCCGGTTACCCGCTTTCACGAAAAGGCTTTTCGAACGATTTGCGCGTCTCGGTACGTGTGATGTCTATAATTGAATTCGCCTGCGCGCGCGAGCTCGGTCCGCCAGATTTGCGAGGGCGAAAATCCTAATAAGGGTCTACGTGAAATCCATCATCGGTGCCGGAGCGTAACGCAAGTCGTTTGGAAATATCCGAGCCGAAAACGCGCTCGCCCTTCGTATTTTCACCCGAATAGTCGGCCAGAGAGCCGTTCGTGCTCATCTTTGCGCGCGCGTTTGAGCTGGAAAAATATTCGGCCATCCGTTAAACGGCTCTGCGATTTTCCACTGCCGGAATTATCCGTACTCACCGTCACGTGGTGAGGTGCTTTCCACGCGGATGGTCGCGGGAATTCGGTCGCGCGGATTTTTCATCCTCCGCTTCCCCTTAAGGGTGTAAAAAACCGCGACGTAAATATTAGACACGCGCGTAAATGGCGGCTGGAACTTTTTACTGAAAGATTAAACAGAAGTCCGCGTCTCGACGTCGCGCCGCCTCGCGCGCTATCGAATGCACGGAGCTCGTTCAACGGAAACAAAGCCACGTGGCGTCGAAGCGCGGCGGTACGCCGTCGCTTCCGACAGGCAAACTTTGCAACGGCAATGGATTAAACGCGTTTTATCGAATGAAGGAGGATACGTTGTTGCAGCGGGTATTGAACGACCGCGCGATCGATGCGGCACGTTTAGCGCGCGCCGACAGGAAGGGAATAGAGTGTGGAGTAGAGCGGAATAGAGAGCAGACAGAGAGTAGAAAAAGCGGAACAAAGGGGGGGGGAGGGAGGAACATCCGAGCGCCGGACGCTCTGTTTTCTCGATTATATGGATCGCCGAAATAACATACGGCAGGTCAGTCGGAAAGCCCATATCGGGAAACGGCTTCTTTTCCTACGGCGAACCTCGCGACAGGTCGCTCGGAAGAATCCGCGACCAGAGGAAGACCGACTTTTTGAAGAATGCGCCGAGGAAAAGCCGGGCGCGCGCCATCGTCGTTCGTCAAGCGTGCTCGGCGCGCCGCAAACCCCATTTAACTCGGCGTTTACGGTCGGCGGGGCGCGGTATCGCGGAAATTTATGACGATCGCGATAATTAGGGACTCACGCGCCTCCGTATAATCCGCCGGTGGCGCGGGTTCGCACGCGTTCGCTCGCGCGAGGTCGACGACGGGGTGAAAGCGCGCGATAGATAAAGGGGTCTGCGGCGGGGGGGTTTTATTACTTACAGTACGTATCGCTGGTGAGTCGATCGATGGTATCTTGCTTAAGCTTGCTGTTCTTCTTGCCCATCTTCGTAGCCGCGAGTGTGGACCTGGCGCGCGCGCGATTTAGCGATCTCTCTTCCCGCTGGGTCGCTGAGATGCCGAGGTTGTTCGCTTTCGTCGGGAGTTCTCACCGTGCAGCTCGCATGTCTCGCTGCCGCCGAAGTGCAGGTGACGAGCAGAGGGTGAAGCGCAAAGAATCGGAGGCTGAACGGCTGGCTCGGCGATTGGAATTGACGTCGGGCACTGCCGAAGAGTCCGTGAAAAGCGAGCGGGGCAGGAAGGAAGGAAGGAAGGAAGATCCCGTTCCTTGCCCGAAGTTTCCGCACAACGCGGTCGAGCGATCGTCTTTTCTGAAACGTTTCCTTCCTCGCGAGTTCCTTGACTCTTCCTTGTTTCGAGGCCGCAGGGACACCCTATCGGATCCACCTGATAACTTTGCTGGCCGCAACTTCCTCCCCCGTCGAGGTACCAACAGTCCACTGTCTCGAGAAGTTTGCCGGTAGATCCAATTTGGAAGTGTATTTTGCAGGAAAGCGAAAACTTTCCTCGATTTTGAGAGGGCTGCGGCGCCCTTCGATTGCGTCGAAGGGGCGGCACGGGGGGGGGGGGTCGTAAATGATAAAGTTTGATTTAATCCGGGCCGCTCGGGGTTTATTTAATTGATTTAATTACGCGACGGAAGGGACTGTCGGTAACACTCGTGTCCGTCTTATTTAATGTGATCGACTCGCTGATACGCCTCACGCGTTGATTCTTCTTTCGACGATACTGCTTTTTCTACGGGAAAGATAAAGGAAAATCTCAATGAGACCACGTATGCGAGCTTACGGCCTGCAGTCACGAAGAAGTTTTCCGTTCTTTTCGCGTTCGACATGCTTGCGACTTCCGCGCGGCAATCAGAAATTAGAGACGTCCTACGCGAATTCAAGTCGCGAGATGCGAAAATTGGCTCGTTCGCGGCGATAATTTTCCGGTGCGGCTGGCTTTCGCGGAATCATTAATCGCGCTCCGCTTGATCTCTTCGGGGAAGTTTCCAAGTGCTGTGCGGACCTGCACTCGACTCGCGGAGATCGGAAAATTAAGACACGAATTCCCGAGAACGAGACGCTGGAGGAAACGTCGAAGAGTTCGCCGGGGTGGTTGCGCAATCGATAAATTTGCCTTTGACTCTCGCAATTTTGGAGAGTTTGATCGATGACGCTAAGTGGACTCGTCGAATTTCCGCGTCTCGAGCGTCGTCTTTATTTTCCGCGAACACTTCCCCTCCTTCCCCTCTTTCTCTGTCTCTTTCTCTCCCTCGCTTTCTCTTTATTCTTCTCTCACCCACCGGAGATAATTCGAGTGAGTAACGCGAACGAACGTTAGTGACAGGAAGACGTTGCATCTCAGATCGAGCGTATCAAAGTTTCAAAGGTCGTAAGACGAGACGACCGATACGGACTACTTTCAGGACTCGCGCTAGTAGCCAATCCCTTTTGGGCTATTATATGAAGGGTTTTAAAGGCCAACGGCGTTACGATATCTCCGGCCTTATCCACGGGATTAAATAGTATTTCCACTAATGTATTTCCTTAGCTCTCGCTGCCACGTTCCGCTTACTCCACCACGACCGCCTTTAATCCTCCCGCTTCCCAAACGTTATGAAAGGATATATGCCTGGAGTTGTTTATTATTTCAAAGTAATAATTATTTCTACAATGTTTAAAGGATTACAGGATTACAGAGTTACCTGATGCGACCAATTGAAATTGCCAAGATTAGATGAAACTTTTTACGAATATACGCAATCGAAGTGTCGCAAACTCGAGGTATCGTCTTTTGTACGAATTTACGAAGAGGATCACGCGAGCACAAGTCCCCGTTCGCAAATGATCCAAATAATTAGTCGCGGTTTGGCGATACGCGGGTACCGACTCGGACGGTTTTATCAATACGTTCATCGCAACACCATTAGCGCCGGTGAATAATGAACCTCTCCCTTTCCCGCGTTTTCGACATCTTTTATCTCGACGTATCTCGACTTACCGTCCGAGCGGATTAATTGAGTCACTATCGGAGGCAACGAACATTTCCAACACGGTGAAGAGTTGCAGTTCGCGACGTTTGGCCGGCGGTAACTACGGGGAAGGCGGAAAAAATATGGTTTCTCGCGCGCGCTCTCAGCTGATTCGAAACGAAGTCATGTCCGTTCGTCGAAACTTCGTAAAAACTTAGTCTAACGGAATAACAATTGGTGAGCAAGGCGCGTCACTCTTGGAGCGTCGAGCGAGATGAAGTTACAGCAAAGTTGGTTCTCTCCGCCTTAGTATGGAGATCTTATTCGCTCACGGTGACGTTTGCGGTCGGGCAAGAGGAAGCGGGTAACTGTCGCGCCGGGAGAACGGCAGATTTCTGCTCGTATATCCATGAATTCGAATGCAGATCAGTCGTTAATGCGAATTCATGTCACGTCGCGTCGCGTCTCCTCGCGCAGTGTCTCTCCGCGAACTTGCCGACCGCGGGATACTCCAGCTTTTGATTCATACTCTGTTCATGCCGTTGCGTCGTGGATTCGCTTCGGAAGTCGACCTTTCGCGCGTGTAGGGATTGCGCGACACAGCGACACAGAGCTGAGGGAGTGAGGGTGGAGGTGACCACGGTGGAGGGTGGCCTGCGAAATTCAGAGTTGCCGAAGGCCGCGGGAGGGCCTCGCCGAATGATTAACTTCCGGTCGAGGTCGTGCTGCACCCTTGACCCCGCGCCGCGTCGTACGATTACGTCGGAGCATGCGTTTTCACGCTTAACGTTACGTTGTAACGAGCAATCCCTCGATGACGGAAACGTTCGAGAACGATGTGCGCGTAGTAACGAGCGACGCGAAGCGGAAGAGCGGAGAGCGAGGCTGGAACGTGAAATGCGGACGGTGGGTGTTGGGGCGGCGGCGGTGGCGGGATCGAGCGCAATTCCGCGTTCTCCGCGTTCGGATCCTCTGGAGAACGCTTCCAGCAAAAAGCCACGGGAACCTGATTATCGGGAGGCACACTCTGGCGCGGCGTAGCGACCATTCATAAAACGGGGACCAGATATTGACGAGCCTCACCGAAGTGCACTAAAGCGTCGTGTGTCGTTCGAAAGCTCTTCAGCAACCGCACGATAAAGGATATTATCGTCACGAGAGAGAAATATATATATATATATATAGAGAGGGGGTGAGAGAGGGGGGGGGAGAGAGAGAAAACACCAGCTCGCGCAACTTTTCGCAAAAACGTCGATAGCTCGATGGAGAACGCCGTGGAGGCACTGAATGAAGGCGGCGAGAGTACCAGCTGGCGGGAACTGCGTTACGCGTATTTTGCAAAGAGCTTGCCCGCGCGCTATCAACGCGAGTTATCACTGATAGATAGATGAAGAGAAAGAGGGAGAGATAGACATTATGCCGGACAGGTTGACGAAGATTCAGAACATTGGTGTTCAGATAATTCGCTCGTGATACGCTCGCTCGGTCGAGGCTCGTCCGCCGATGTGTAAATCATAATCTCGACAAGCGGAATTGCGTCTGACTCATCACGATAACATCGCGCGGATCGATCCCTCGCACGCTCGCTCATTCGCAATCAGCTTTGTCACACGACTCAAGTTGACACGATTAAACGGACAGATGTTCTCGCGGATGCGCGACGAACCTCTCGTCTCTTTCTCACGTTTCCGCCGAATCGCGATCCCGGTTGTTTGCGAATCACGTTCAGGGACCGAGGACGACGGTCACGCTGTCACGCACGCGGTCGTGCGAACCTGCTCGGCGGCACGTTCCTTCGCGAGAACTCTACCGGAGATTCCGTCGTAAATAGGGTTTCATTCATGAGTTCTCACCGCTGGCGAGGTACGTTCGTCGGCGAAGCGCGGACCAGTGACGTCATAGCGTCGCGGCGCCTGGCGTCAGACTGGCTCGGCGATGACATTATGTGGAAGTGTGGCGGAGGTTACGAGGGCGCAAGCGCATCCACCACTCGAACTCGGAGGAGATGCTCGACTATCCTCCCTCCCTATTTCCACCCTCTCCCAGTTCCCCCGCAGGTTCCTCCGTCCGATTCCGCCACCTTCGATCCTCCTCGCGCTTTCTCCCTCTCTGTCGGCCGACCGTTCGCCGTCTCGGTCGATCGCGCATTCCGCGTCGCGTTTCCACCCTTGTCTTTCTTTCGTCGATTTTCCGACCCCCTCACTCACTTCACTATCCTCCTGTCTTTTTCTCACCCTTATGGGAAATCGTTCCGTCTTCATTCTTCGTACAACAAAGAACGATATTCTCTCTTTCTCTCTCCCTCTCTCTTTATTTCACTCTCTCGCTTTACCTCATCTCGTCTCGCTTCGCGCCGTCTCTTTCGCGGATCTGTTTCTGCCGTCCCATCCCTCCCTCCCCTATTCCACGCAGTGTGCCGGATGCCTTTGCCTCTTCACTTCCATTTGACCATAATTCTCGTCTTGCAAATATTGTTAACACCCCCGCATTTTCGGGAGAAACTTGGTCTCCAGCACGTCCCGTAAACTTCCATTATGGAATTAACCCGGTCGAGTATTCGCAGGAACGGGAGCGCACGTTTTTATTATTATTTATCACTGTCTCTTATTGCCCGAATACCGTCACCACCGCCGCCGCCACTGGTTGTGCTCTCCTTTCTAACTTTATTCCGAACTGCAATAAGTATTACTTTGCGCCTGACCTTCTGTGCTCGGAATTTTTACCGTTGTCCCTCTCCCCCCGTCCGCGCGATACGCAAAACGCGAGTTTTCTTACGCCGTTGAACGGAATTTCCGACAAATTGAAAGGAGCCCAGCGTTATTGTGTTAGAATACGCCGGTTTCTGCTCCGGAAATAATATGACACGACGCGGGAAACCAGAGTGGTGAAGCAAAGAAAGACGCGACAACGTCTGAAACGTGATGAGACTTTTTCCGGCGTCTCTCACCGTGCGACGCGATCAATCACTGGATTATGAAGAAAAACTCATCGGTCGAAGTGAAAGGGATTAATGGCGATTGGTTCGCGCGAAAGCGCGTTGATAACATCGCTCCGAAAATAAGCTGAAAAGATGCAGTGTAGAATGAAAGTAAGGTAAAGCGGGATTAGGACTACGAAACACGCGAGAAAGTGTAATACGGCTGAGAAGTTCTTTCGGTGTTTTATCGTGATGAGATCAATCACTTAAAAACGTTGTCGGTTGC